CTGATAAAGATATTTGGCTACATAAGAGACAGTGCAGTGTGATGGCCACGAATATGAACTTTCTAGATTTTAAAACATGTTTGACAGTGTCTAGTTCTGACACTATGGAACTCAGGACATTTAAGTCTCAAAATTTCAATTTCTTCATGGGAAAAATAAGCATAATATTATCTTTTAAAATGATAGTGTTATGTGAGTTAACAAATATGCTTGCCCTGGTGTCTAGCATAAAGTATCTATAACAGCAATGATGGTAGATAGATTTCCTGGTCCACAGATAAACTTACTTCATTGAAATCCAATCTATCATCAATCTAACATACTATAGATTCTGTATATGGATTATTTCTCAATAATTGTATACTCTAAAAAGAGTCACCCAAATGAAGCAACTTTTTTCTGAGATACAGTTTACAGGACTATTAGTGATATTTTTAGTCTATTGAGTGGGACTTCCCCAGGTGTCTAGTACTTAAGCATGATGTCAAGTTTGAAGTTTTGAAACTGGAACATAGCTGCTAGGAGAAAGATACTGATGGTGTTATTCTTTCTTATTATCATATCTTGAGACAATTCAGAATGCCACACTAACTTCTATATTAAACTAACCTTTTTCTAAACCACAGGTCTTGAGAATTGGAGGGAGATGACATTTGACTTTACTACCAGTAAATGACCTTTCTTTGATTCTAATCCCTGTTTCATCACATACACCATCTTTCTGAATTATCACGCAGCATGGCTCCTCAGTTTTATCCCTATAGGCCTCTTAATTTTCTGGATTGCCAACTATCTGATTATAAATAGGAAGAAGGTAAAATCCTGGATTCTTTACTTTCTTTTGGCAATGCAATCCTGTATTTTCTTCAGTCTACCCTGTATTGTTTAAGCAAGTAATTAGACTTTGCCATACTGTCAAAGAATGTTGCTTCACAGAGTTGAGGCATGTCACAAACTGGACATACAGTTCCATGAGGTTTTACAAAATTAAAAAGACAGGATCATAGTACTCTTGGTACTGGTTTAACTACTAAATGTTAGCTTTGTGATGCAACTTGTCCTCACTCTGCAGAATATGGATCCATCTACAGAATTTAACTTTTGGTATTACAGGTCTGAAGGCTAATCTGCCCTTTTTTTTCCTACTAATTCCAAAGTTAAAGGATCACTTTGGCTTTTCTCTCTTTTCCCCAGCAAAATCAGTTTCTTAATCTCTTGCATTTAGTTGCTAAAAAATATCACTAGACAATGTTGGCTCATTTTATTGTTATTCCCTACTTGTAAGGTATGTTTTCACAAAGCTGAATATCTTTTTCTTTTGTTGATTTAACTTTACCAGGAATTCCAATAATTTCCCAGTATCTTTTACGTTTAAATTTTAGTTTCCTAGAACTTTCTTCACCCGGCCTTTTAGACCAGGTTTTTGAACATCACCACCTGATCTAGCTAGAAGTTCCATTTTTGTATGAATGGAAGTAGTTTCTTCAAATGCTAAACACATTTGCATTTTTAAAGTAATTATGATGGACATTAATGACACTCTAAAAATATGTGCTATATTTTTATTCTGAAACCGCTCTGGTCCTCAACCCCTTTGTCTAACTTCTTCAATTTATAATTCTCATCTGAGATATAGTTAATCATCTGCTCTATATCAAAACATGTTCTCTAGAAGAAATCTAGTATTATTTTATCAAAGTGTGAATGTAAGTTAACTTTTTTAGGGACATGAGTATAATTGCAAAGGGACACTTACCGATTGTTAACAGAAGCTATTGTTCAACATAGATGGAATAAGAAGATACTTACTGTGTAGGATTCATATGCCAGCTAGAAAGATCCCAAATGATCAATGTACTCAGGGAGGCAAAGTTGGGAAGTAGTAATATGTTAACTTATGAAATATATTTGGGATCGTAAGAATGTTTTCTTTTGAAACTATGGTTCTATTTCTGGCTTCCTCCTTTCTTTAGTACCAATCTAGTTTGATAGGAGAAATTAAGAACATAGTTCCATGTTCTACTTAAAAAGATAACACTTCTTCAAAGATAAGAAAAAACACCACCACCTGACAAAAATAAAGAAAGTTACTAGTTTTAAAACACTGTGCCTATGTATGCTTAATGTTGACTATTCCAGAGATTTGTTATTTTAGAGCACCTACTCAGTGTAAGTATGCTCTATAACTAGCACTATACATCATCTAAATAAAAAAATAAATAACTGGCTTCCAAACATTTCTTCTTTGATATTAGGAGAAAACTGCAATTTACTAGTCCCCCCAACACAACCAAAATTCAAAAACATGGAGTTAACTGTTTGAACAAATATAAGATTTTAACCAAGTTCTTTTAAAGGGATTTGCTTTTAAATTTAAAACAGCTCATACAAACCATCCAAAGAAAACAAAACCAATGCGCCATAACGTAGCTTTTAGCTACACTGCTTTATAAATTTTTCTCTTGCTAATTACACTTCATGATTATAAAATTAAATGCTGCACTCGATTGTCACTCTGGCTCTTGAGTTGTCAGGAAGTGAGATGAAATGAGGTGCTTATGAAACAAAGAGTTTTAAGTATATTTTAATCAAAGTTGCATTTTACATATAATTTTAGTTACTTTTGCCATTTATATTTGTAAATTTTGATTTCTACAGAGGTTCACATTCTTTACGTGGACCATAAGCTGCAGCTGACTTGTTAAGGATGTTATGTAACAGGACTTATAAGCCAAGATCTGTCCAAAATCTTCATGGAATCAGAATATATCACTGATATATTTGTCCTCAGAAAACCACTTAATATAGAGGAGGTGGGTATGTGATTTCCTCCATATTCATTCATTCACTGAGTAAATGTATTTACTACCAACTCATGCCAGTGTGATAGTTCTAAGAAAACAGGACAGACATAATCGTTGCCCTTAAAAAAAGATCATATTACAGAGGGGAAGACAGATTTTAAAACTCAATACATAAATAAAATATTTATCTATTGTGTTATGAAGGAAATAGCCAAGGTGCTAGGAGGTATAGAAGGTGGTGGCTGGAAGAGGCAATTTCTACAGGCTGGGATAGAAAGGATGAAACCAGCTATGTGAAAAATGGCAAAGGTGGGGTATGTTTTCTCCCTACCTTGTCACCTTCTAAAATGAAAATTTAACTCTCCAACTGGATACAGTGACTAAAGAACATGGTGCTCCATTTCCCTGGTGGTATACTTCTATGCATGGTATAACTATGTAAGTACTTAAAATGTGTGCAGTGTAGTTATGGCAAAGGACACAAATGCATCTTCTAATCACTACCAAAATACTGTCCAGTGCAATTTCAACACAGTGAATTACTATAGTTTATACGAAGGTTTCTTCACATGAGTGGATTTCATTGTGGGTCTTAGTGCCAGGACCAGACTCCACAGGCATGAAACAAAACCCCTAATCTTAGTATATGAACACAATCTTGACTTCTCTGGATGAGTTGGACTCACCAAGATCTGCAAATGAGGAAGTAACATACAAGGAAATGTGTGTGTTCCAAGGAGGCCTGACTCTCACAGTTGGTCAGAAATCTTTTGTTACTCTAAAATCAAGGATCCATCATTCCTCTCCCCAAAAGTCTCACTCCTGGGGAGACAGGGTGACAAAACATAAACCATCTGAGGGCCGGGGATTTAGCTCAGTGGTTCTGGCGTCTGCCTCACAAGCACAAGGTCCGGAGTTCCATCCCCGGTACACAAATAAAAACAAACAAACAAACATAAACCATCTGAAGGCCAAACCACTAGAGGGAGAAAGTGTGCCTCTGGTGACTGGAGAGCCAATGAAAGCAACTCTTCAAAAGGACAGGCTCCAAGGGAGCTAAGTTAAACTCTAGTCAGCCAGGGGCAAGGACTGTGTCAACTATGGTAGCCTTGGGAAATTGAAGAAAAATCCTTAAAACTGCATAATGGCTCCTCTTATACCAAATAATTCAACTGTTTAAAGTATGAAGATATTTAATCTTAATTTTGGATATGTTTTACTTCATATTTTCTAAGGACTTCTATAACTGTGCAAAGACTGTAACATATAAGCTTAGTTTTCAGGAGGGATTTATAACAATTTTGAGACATTATGTTGTCCTTTATGCACTGGCTATTTACATATTATGTTAAATACTCCAATTTTCTTCGTTAATTTAAGATATAAAGCTTTTCTGTCTATTGGGATGATCAGAATGATTTATGGGTTACTATTTAGTCTCTCTAAAATATTACTTCAAGAAAATTAATTTTATTTAGGTACTGGGCAGGTCAAAAAATTTGCTTTTCCAACATATCAGTAACAAAAACTGTGACTTAAAAAAAAAGCAGCAGAGTTGTTACAAGCCTCAACCCAAATGATTTTTGTCCAATGAAAATTGGTGAATCTTGTTTGCTGTACGGCATCGTCATTTTCCATAATTAAAAAATAAAACCTAGCCAAATGTTACAATTGTTTAATAAATACAATGTATGGAATACTCTTTTAAAAAATAACATTATAAAACTTAAACATATACAAGTTATAACACATTCACTATTAGTGTGTATCATAGTGAATTCTTTCCTCACACCAAAAGCTAAAAAAAAAACCCCAAATTTCCCAGAGTGGCGCTTAAGATACAGTCGATGATTTTGTTTTCAATGTGTCATTTTTCTTTCCTTAGCAGAACAAACACAACACCTCAGCAACTATTTCTAGGATTCTTAAAAGGGAGTAGCAGGAGCATCTACTCTTTCAGCACTGATTTTTCTTCACAACGTGTGATATGGTTTCTCAAAAATGCTGTTTGGCATTCCTGATTCTTTCATGTGATTTCAAAGTTTAATGCACTCGGGCTACACACTTCAGTGTTTTCAGCTCCTTTCATTTTCCTTTTCCCTTTAATTATAGAAGTCTCTATTCCTTCTTTTCGCAAATGTGGTCAAGACAGATACCAAATGCTACCACGCGTAGCAAGAATACACCTATGTTTTTCTCGGGGCGATTCACAGAAACTCTTCCCAAATAAAGCAGCTGCGATGGATGACACCGCTGGGCCACGCTGCAAAGATAACTTTCTGGACCCTCACCCGCTCCTTTGGCTCTGATGGATGTGGCTCCTGCCCCGGGGAGAAAAAAGGCAAGTAGACACTCTAATTTTAAACTTGCATTGGAAAGCACTTTCAAAACAGTCACAGTGGCGCTGCCCGCAGACCTAGATCTCGGGCTCCGTCCGTCCCCGAGGCCGCTGTGCTCCGCTCCGTGCGCGGGGCCGGCGGGTGCGCGGCGGAGTCGGTCGCGCTGGCCGGGTGGGCGGCTCGGTCCCCGCGCGCCCCGCCTCAGGCCAGGACGCCCATCCCCGAGCCCGGCCGTCGCGCTCCCTCCGCCGGCCTCACCACACGGCCCAGTTTGAAAGAAAACTTCACGCGGCGAAATGCACCTCCCTTCATCACCGCTCCAATCCTTCCTTCCCAGCCGGCAGAAAACGTGAGCTCGGTGCTGATTCGGGAGAGCGGGCCGCGGAGCGGCCGGGAAGCCCTCGGGGACTCGTTACCTGGCCCGTTCCCCTCCCCCTCAGCCGGGGGGCGGGGTCGCCGTCCGGGCGGACGCGCGGGGGGCGCCGGGGCCTGGTGCGCGGGGGGCGCGAAAGTGCGCGCGGGGGGCGCGAAAGAGTGCGCGCGTCGCGGAGCCGGCGGGGCAGCACTTGTCCTGTAATCGATTGCCGAGCGCGCCGAGCAGCTGAGAGCGCAGACACGCGCACCCAGCGAGCACACACACACACACACACACACGCGCGCGCGCGCGCGCGCGCACTCACACTCACACTCGCAGCGGAGCTCAAGCCCCGCACACACGCACGCACGCCGGCCCTCGCCCGCGCGCGCCCGCACGCACGCGCCCCAGGCCCCTCCGCCTTCGCCAGCCCGCCCTCCGCCCGCGGGCGTTTGCGCGAGCCCGGCCGGCGGGGGAGATGTGCTCGGGCTCCGCCGCATCGGTTTCTCGGGGTTTGACCAGCTGTCCCGGGCTAACCCTGCTCCTCGCTGAAGATGGAGGAAGTAAAAACAGGATTACCCTTAGCTCCAGATCCACTGCCTTAGTTTCCACCACCACCTGCAGTGCACAAACACACGTTAGGCACAGGAAAGAAAGAGAGAGGACACACTAACAGTAAACACAAACAAAAGGGTGATGGGATTATTTTACTGCATGCATTGCTGAGGTAAATCTCCGCTTGGCTTTGGCTTGGGGAAGAACAGCTCTTGTTTTATTTGTCTTCTGATTCATAGATTATATATAAAAATGTGTATGATTTGCAAAGGGGGGAGTGTTTTCAAAGTTAAGTGTAATTGTATAGCATCTCGTTGTGCACTGTGATGTGATCAAATGACTTGTTGCTGTTAACCAGGGATAATAATATAGGTGTTTTTCTTTGGGAGGGATGGATTGTGATTATGATTAGGGTAATGATTTCTGTAAAGGACGCTCAGGGAATCGGGTTGGAGATGATGTCCTCTGCCTTAATTTATCGTCCCCTCCTTGTAATGTGTTTCTGGGATGTTAATCGATTAATCAGTTCTCATCTGTATAGCTGTCATGGATTTGGACTTGTTTTGCTTTGTTTTAACTTGAATTCCAAGAAGAAAGATTGGATAGCCTGGAATAAATTGCAGATAGAAGGTAATATACAGATCCTGTTGGGATTGAAAAAGCAAAAAACAGACCAAAAGAACTGGTATGACACACGTAAAAAAGGCGCCACTTAAATGACTTTGACAGGTTCTAGTGTGGGCGAGAAAGATGGAAGATTTAAATTTTTTCTTTCCTTTTTCTTTCTTTTTTTTCCTTTTCCTTTTCTTTTTTTCTTTTTTCTTTCTTTCTTTTTTTTTTTTTTTTGGCCGAAGGCCAAAAGCAGTCCTGTGAAGTTGGCCTTGGTTCCTCATTGGGTTCTGCCTGAGTGTCCCCCCCCCCCCTTATCCCCCTTTTTTCTTTCAGTTTTCTTGTCTTAGCTTTTGGTCGATTCTTAAGGAACCGGTGGATCAAGTTTTTCTCTTCTTGTTAATCGCATTGCTGTAGCACTGACCTCTCTCTCTCTGTTTTTCCTCTTTCCTGAAAGTACGTGGTGCCATTCCTGAGTGACTTTTCCTACTAGACCATCCCAAAGGGACGAGGGGGAGGGGTGGAAGGAGGAGGAGGAGGAGGAGGAGGAGGAGGAGGAGGAGGAGAAGGGGGGTGTTCCTTCTCTCTCATTTCTTGGTTTTGTTTATCAGCGGATCTGTTTGCTGGATTTGGAAGCTTGGAATGACCCACCTGTAAAGTGCTTTTCCTTCCTCCTCGCCTTGAACTCTGCAGGGGGCTTGGCTTGAAGGGAGCCTGGGAGGGAAAGAGAGAAGAGGGAAACACAAAAAACTTCTTTCTTTCTCTCGGTTTATCTTCAGCCCGACATTGTCACCTCCTCTTTGAGGAGTTAGAAGAAGCTGAGATCTCCCGGCAGAGCTGGAAATGGTGATGAATCTTTTTTAATCAAAGGACAATTTCTTTTGTATGTACATTTCGTTTCTCTTTCTCCTTTTTCTTTCCTTCTCTGAGGGTTAATAACCATTTCATTGATGGAGCAGAGTACTTTCGCTTCTCCCTGACACTTCTTTCTAATATGTGTATGTTAAATGTGTACATTCTTAAAGAGATACTCATTTGCAAAATATCCGAGGAAACTGCTCCCCTTTTAAACTTTATGGATCCCTTTCTTTAAAGCTTTATGTAATCATAATTTGAAAGAATTTGATAACAGTGCAGCAGGTTGAAATATAAGTGCTATGTAGTGACTGAGTTGGGAATTTGATCTGATCATACCATAAAGAAAGAAAAGTTTTTGGGGGGTGGGTAGGGAGAGTGGTGGTGAAAGAGGGGAGGGGAGGGAGAAGGGAAGTGGTTTTGGAGACAAGAAGTGAAGCTGCCTGTTTTCCAGTAAGTAATGGAGAAATTCCAGGAGCCCAGGCTAAATATACTTGGCGATCAATACAGAAATGGCTCATTGTGAATAATTTAGCTGCTGGTGCAGTGAGAGTTTTGAAACTAAAGGCAAAAAGGACCAGGGCCAAAAGAGGGAAAAAAAAGAAATAAAAATCTCTTCAGCACTCGTCAATTCTTAAACTTTTTCCTTCAAAGAATACAGTTAGATTATTGATCTTTTCATTATGTGAATCAAAGCTAGGGGGTGTCATCTCATACAGCTTTACTTTTGTTTCTGTGAGTTACGTTCTGTGTCATGTCATTGGTGCCTAAGGAAAATGCCCCAAACTTGAAAAAAAGTGATTCCCTCCTGCACAGCTGAAAGTTGCTGAAATTTTCAAAATCAGAATGTATTAAGTAGGTTTGGCATTTGTATCCAACCATCATCCGCAGGAAATGAAGGTTACATTGAACAGGTGCTTACCCAGAACCTTAGGGTAGGCTAAAATGTCAATACAACTGGGAGAGTTAGCTAACCGCTGCTGCTGAAGTCTTCTTTCTAGACACAGTTGGGCTGAGAAGTTGTTTTGTTTTCTTGTGTTTGTTTGTCCTCCCCGTCCCTGTTAGAACATGATGAACCAACTTGCAACAATTGTGAATAGAGCTATCTGTATACTGGGGAAGTCCTCAAACTGCAGTGTGATTGTGGGAAATAGTGAATGGTAAAACACTTACATCCCATTAAAACTGGCAAATTCGAGGTGTAATTCCCCCATTTTTTTCAGTAAAACAAGTAAATTTTGATTAAGACAAGTCATTCCTCTCTCGCTACAGCCCATCTCACAGTACACTTATCTTTCCTATCCTATCTCCAGCAGGAATCAGATCATTTGCAGAAAGAGTTCAGTGACTTGCAAATGAGCACATACAGTACACAGTAGTAGGTTTCTTGGGCACAGGTTGCAGCAACAGCATGGACTAAGTGCTTGGAGCTTCAAATAAGCTAAGAATTTAATGGCAGATATCAAAAGGACTCACAGTGTTAACGGTCTAACATTTTGTTTTGCAGCACTGCACTTTGACTATGGAAACAGAGGCTGTTGATGGCTATATAACATGTAAGTATTCATTTTCATTAACTTGTTCTTGTAATAAAGTTACCTTTTTATTACCCAAGTTTTAATTTCTGGATTATAGATTGCATTAAGGATTCTACATTCTTATTTTCTGTTCACAATTTTATCTTTACCTCAGAGAAAATAATGGCACAAAAGCGAAGAAGGAAATATAGAATATTGACTTGCTGCTTATTAAATTACAGATATTTAAATCAACCATAGCTTATCAACCCTTTTCTACTTGATTTTTTCTATTTCTTTAAGTTTTGAATATGTCAGGTTAAATATATCTACTAGTATGGTGTGTACTGAATATTTTCTACTCTGTAACCTAGTTCTTCTGAACACATAATGGGAAAGAATTAGGTTCTATAAGTTGACATTTTTTTAGCAAGCTCTCTTTTCAAGCATCTAACTTTCCAATAGCCTGCATTTTAAGAACTGCTTATTATAAATACTTTATGTTTAGTAATTAAATGAGATGTTAAAACTTACTCTTCAACTAAAAAATTCTTTAGAAATAAGCGGCTTCATTTCCCCTTGTTTTGTTTTTATTGGAGTATTATGATTAAAAAAAGTTTTGTTAATTTCTTTATTGTGAGCTGATTGTGATTTTTGTCATTTTATACATTTAGTATATATTTCTGAAAAATATTTCCTTAGAGCTTCTTTTATAGTGAAAAATGTGTTACTTAAAAATTCCAGACTGCATGCCACTGTGTATAAGAAAGAATGTTAGTAATTAGAGTTTATGTGACAATGAACAGAAACCAAAAGATTTTATTTTGTGAAAGCAGGTGACAATGAGCTTTCACCTGAAAGGGAGCACTCCAATATGGCAATTGACCTCACCTCAAGCACACCCAATGGACAGCATGCCTCCCCATGTCACATGACAAGCAGTAAGTCTTCATTTTACGATTTTTTTTTCTAATTCTCTAGTGACAGATTTGAATTTGTTAGGTCTGTGGGGTCTGCTCATGTTCTGGTGTAGCTATTGCTATAGATTTTGCTAAAGAAAGAACAACACAGATTTATTCCTGTTCATTCTAGTATCATAAAACATGAGCCTGATTACTAGTTTCAACTATCCCAAGGTGGCATTTGGGAGCTGGTGCTTACCTGTATCAGGTAAGAAATGGTAGGGTTTGCTGGTTATTGTTTGGACTTGCCAGGTTTATGACTGGATTTGTTGTTGTTGTTGGATAAAAAATACAGAAACATGTCACTTCCAAAGTGACATGTTTTTTCATAGTGAAAAAAATGAAGTAGTTTTGTATTGCTTTGGTACAAAGCTAAGCCATCAGTGGTAGAATTGTAGTGTTACTTGTGTTAAAAAAGGTGAAAGTTTCTCCTCTACAGCATTGGAGTGAAGTGTAATTGAAAAGTTATGAAACTCATTTACATCCATTTCTCTAATGAAGTTGGAAACATTTTATTTTAGAATGTATAGAGAAGAACTGAGAAAATTTGGAAGGATGTTTTTGGCTGTAGAAATAGACAGTTTTGACTACTGTTTTTGATAAAAGGTTGTTCAATTGGTATAGTCAATGCTTTTGTGTAATCAGCAACTTACATGCTGTCAGTGACAGGAGACAAAATACTTTTATTTATTGAGAGTGTAGTAAATCTCTGAATTATAATGTTGTGTCAGGTTAGTTACCAAGTACAAATGTTCTCTTATTCCTACTCAAAACTATTAGTAATCTTGTCTCCTTATTTTTTGTTATATATATTTTTCTTATATAGGAAGGACGTATGATTTATATGTACTTACAATTCTTCTGTTTTGGTGACATGTGAAGGAAAGTCATATTTCTCCCTTTCTTTTTTGAAGATTTAACAAAGAAACCAAAGCTACTTAATTGTAAGCATATTCTTAGGTGAATTCTCATCCGAGGGAACTTTTCCTTTCTGCTTCCTCTTAGAGCCTTCAAAACTTAAGTTATTGTAAAGCTAAAAGCTTTGTAATTAGTGAAGACTGCTGAATTATAAGCGAAAGTATATAGATTACTCTTGAATATATTTTGTAATTCATTAATTTTAAGTCATTTTAGCTATTTACTTGAAATTATGATTGAACCATTTGAATTTACTTTATTAAAAGATTCCCCTCCTTTTTATTACTGGAGAGAACAGAAAATTTCATCCTAGATGCAGTCCTTGAAATTTCTTTATCATGTAGAAAGGCAAAACTAATAAAGTTACTGACTGAATATATACTAAAATATCATGCTAATCTCTTACAGTGATCTTGTGGCATTAATTTTTTGCTTGTTGACTTGATAAAAGTTATACTACTGTAACATTGTAGGCAATATAATTTGTATATTTTAATATTTAATTTTAGTAGTTCTTTGGTGGACTATACTTTTCTTTCTCAGAAAGTTTTTCATGTAATTTCCTAAGGAGTCCAGATAGATTTATGTATAGTTTCTGTTTGTTAAATATTTCATTATTGGCTTTGGTAATAGTGGATATATGGAGTAGAAAATACCTCAGGGACTTGACTGTCATCCCCTGGTCACCAGCAGAATATCAGCAGGAAAATGCTTATTAATTAGTTAATTGGTCCTTTATTGGTTAAATTGTTTCTGCTTTTATAAGTACTTCAAAAAGGCAACTCACTCATCCTTTAAAATAGTCCAAAGTGTAGGCATGATTAATTTGTACAATTAAGAACTGTGCCATTTACATTCGAACTTTTCTCACCCAACAACAGTAAACTTATGTTTGGTAAAGAGTTTTTTTTGTGTGTTTTAACTTTCTAGCCTTTGGCAATTCCATGTTAGTACAGTTTTTGGCTAAGCTGCACATGTTTTCAGGTTCTTTTCCAAAGAGTTGCAGGTTAAATATTTTGGCTCCCACTTCAGAGCTGTCTGTTGCATCCTTTATGTAGCCTCTATTTACAGTATCTAGGTTACCCACTTAGGTGTTAGATGGAGAAGATACCCATTTTTCCTCTGCTAGATCTAGGAGAATATCAGCATTTTAGATTGCCAAAGCAAGTAGAGGTAGAGAGGGACTCTTGTCTATTAATTGGAGCAGAGACCTAGAATCAGTTACTCAGATGCTTTTCTGTGGCTTGGAATAATTTTGTGCGCAGGAGGTCTATCAAATCATTTGTATTTGAGGGCTCTGGTTTTCCTTATCCCTTTACACATACTCTGGACTTTTTAAAGTGAAAATAATTTATTCTTGAAAATTTTTCATGTGTTCGAATTTATTTCCTATAGGGCTGCTGCTTCCAAACACAGAAATATAATTTTTGATTGAAAGTATTAAAGCCTAAAATAAATGCGAAAACCTTATGAAAAAATAAGAGTCTGGAATAGCAGGAAGAAGAGATCTGTATGTACAAGGGGGAAAAAGTTATTTTTAAAAGGTTTATATAGAAGGAAAATAAACCTTTGAATTTTATAAAATAAGTAACATTCTCACCATAAAATATAAATAAAATGAAATAAGCCCACTTATTTTGGCTTTAGGAAAGTGGTCAGTATTACTATAGGGATCTAGTCATTTGTTTAGGGTGTTTGGTAACTATTCTGAGATGAGGGATATCTGTACAGCTTGCTGCCAGCTGTTGTATAAAAAATAATGACAGCAGGTATCATTTGATAGTGCTAGAATAGAGCACTGGCGACTTGGCAGAAAACTAAAAAATGTTATAATGCCTGACAGTTTTTAGTTTTAAAATTGAATATATAAGATAACCTTAAAAGAAGTAAGAGGTATTAGTGGTCTTAACATTGTACAGTGACTACTTCCTGTGTTTTAGAGTGAATTTTCATAGAGAAAACTTAGACTTTTTCTTTTGGAATAAAGATCTCTTTGATAAGAGGATGGGCATTGTTGCCCAAGATCATTAGTGTACATATTGAGTCTGCTGACAATCTTCGGTGTCAGGAATGACAGCATATGCCTTGATGGCTACTGGAAATACACAGTGTTAAGTGATTTTTAAAAATAGAATCTGGAAGTTAAGAATCTGAGATAGACAACTCAGACAGCAATATAAAAATAATCCATATTGTGTTTGGCCCATCAGATGAAACTTACTTTGCGATTGCTTCTTGTTTCTGGGTTAACTCATTTTCAATTCTTGCATAGTTGCTTCAGTATTGGTTTTTATTACAGCAGCTATTTCAAAAAGTTTTTAAGGTTCCAAAAATTGTAATTCTTCAGGTTTTTTTAATATCTATTTTTATAATGCCTGGAAGTAGGTTTTCTTTTCAGGTAGTTACTTCGTTGGTATGAAAATACATCGTAACATGAAATGTGTCTACTACTTTAAAACCTTTAGGTGGATCAACTATGCAGTCACTACTATTTATCAGTCTGCTTGATGGCCAGGTGGCATGTGTGGAATTAGAAGAGGTAGTAATTCTCGTTTTACAAGGTTCTGACCAATAATCAGTCAAGGAACCTAGTGTATTCTTTTCATAGTGTTTCACATTCAGTTTTTCTTAGCTTGTTTCCATTTTTAGACTCTAGTGAAGCAGATGTATTATGATTTCTACTTCTTATATGTGGAAATTAAGGCTTGAGGAAATCAGTTCACCTTTTAGGTTACTTGGCAGAAAGATACAGTTCTTAGAGTTGGGCATAAAACTGGGTTATTACTTTTTGGATTGGTTAGGTTACTGGTGTCTCTATAATGTCGTCCTGTCAGAGTGCCCGTCATGTCCGATGCTGACCCATGTTTTAGTGACAAAAAGAAATAGAGTGTTATTATGAGGGTGAAGTGATATCAGATAATCCTGTCAACTAAGCAGTCTGATGTGCTTTTTAAAATATTACTTCTGTTATGGCACTCACTAGCTTTGTGACTGTCTTCCATAGCTTAGTTTGGCAGTCACCCCTGGTTGGATTTCCATAGGGAAATATAACACTCAGTGAACTTAATACAAAATCTAGCTCAGTTTAGAATCATAATACTTATATTTCCATTGTACTTTACATTTAGTTTTTATTTGTTAGAAAATTTAAAACAAACAGATCTGATTTGATTTCTTCACATTTATTAGAAGCGTTATGCTTGTGTATTCAAAGAAATAGAAACTAAAGCAAGTGTATATTTGCAGGTAATTAACAGCAAAGGTACTATATCTTTTTCTTTTGGCTTATTCCACCCTTCCTACTCCAGTTTTTAAGGCTGCAATGCATAGTGGTGAAAACTAAGGTCTGTCTTTGAAAAACAACTTACTGCGGAAGAGTTATCCTTGTTGCCTCTGTCTTTGCCCAAATTTGTCTTTCCTAATAGAAGTACTTTTTTTTAATATGCTATGATTGATTCAGTTTTATTGGCACTCTTCCAGTAAGGCATAATGAATTAAGATATTGGGGTTCCATCTTCTTCTCCCCTGTCATTTTTGATATATGGTATATTTTAAATATTGATGTATTTTGATCTTCTGATGTTCTGATGATAGGTCAATTGTAGGGTCACAGTTCAAAAATACGGCATCTTTACTTTTTATATTTGTTTATATCAGATATATATTAATCTGCTAATAATTTCCTTTTGCGAACACATTGAGACTTAGAATATCTGTGATTTGAAATACATCCAGAGTATTTTAAGAATTTTTTTCTTATTATAAATACATTGTGATCACCACAAGATTGACAGAAAGTAGAGCGGTATGATTTACATAGTACATAGGATCTCACTATGTTAAATGCTTTCTATATTTACTGGTGTCACAACAGCTTCCTGAGGTAGGTGAGTAATTTCTCTAATTTATAACATAACATGGAGGATCAGAAGGGGCTTGGAAGTTATACCAGCCTGTTTTAGAATTCTTGCTGTGCCACTAAATTGGCGTGTGAACTTAGGCATTTTATTTAAAATCCCTGAGCTCCAGGTGCTTCCTCTGTAATATGAGGATGAGCATTA